TATTCATTAATTTTTTTTTTTTTTTTTTTTTTTTTTTTTTTTTTTTTTTTTAGCGGGAGCACCAAGGGGATGTTTTTTAGCACTAAGGTTTCGTCATTTTGAATTTGGGTTTCGTCTTTCGTCAGCAAAATTTGAGGTTTCGCCTTTCGTCAGAAGTTTCGTCATTTTGGGGCTTAGGTTTCGTCTAACAACTATACCTTTTCCTTTTTGCTATTTAATGCCTGACGAAACTATTTTTGCAATGACGAAAGGTTTCGAAACCTGATGAATGACGAAACTCCTGATGATTGACGAAGCTCCTGATGATTAACGAAACCCCACAAAAGCATGCCGATTGACGAAAAAAGGTTGTGCCAAAATTTTTTAAACTTTGGGCAAAGATATCTCGATAACCACCAAATCAAAATCGATAAACTTTTTTTATATAAATTTATGAGTCTGTAAAATTTAAATAAAAGCAGTTCATAGAATTTGGCATGGTAGATGTCGAGATATCAAGTCTGAATAATTTTGGCGCAGCCTCTATTTTGATCGAATTTTTAAAACCACAAGCCAAATTCGATAGAATTTAAATAAAAAAGTTTATTAAAATTGACTCGGTATCGAAATTTTGGGGTATGAATAACAAATCAAATTTTTTTTTAATTTAATAAACTAATTTTAATTTTTTTTTAAACATTTTAAACATTTATAGTATATATCGCGCAGGGCCGATTATGATTTTCTATTTCATAGGAAACAGCGATCCGACCACAATTGGTTCTACTTGTGTTACTTTATCATTTGCCAAGATCATTTCTAAATTATGCAGATTTATTATAAACGGATCTGTACGGTATAGGGTCTGAAGTACCCCTATTTTTATTATCAGCATTGCTATAATATGTTTTTTAAAGAGGTATTTACACTCTATACTATATACATCTAAAAATCTTATGAAATTTTTTGTTTAAATTATAGTTCCTCATACCAATATAGCTATGCTGTATTTAGTTGTATACCCGATATTTATTCATCTGAATTCAAACTATAATTTTTTAACTATTCTGTATTGGAGTTTTCGGACTTTCCTAGTTTAGCGCGATAATGTTGCGCAGCTACTTATGATGATCAGATGATTTTTCATAGCATATGAAATGATAGAAATATTATAAATAGAGAAAAAATATCTCAATACAATAAAATTGAATACACACAAAATGTTTATACGTAAATTATGTGTATTATTAGTTTTATCAGCTATAATTAAAATTTCTACTTCTTATCATAAATATCCAATACATACAGTTAATTACCATGTACGTGGATATTATGAAGATATGATAGATCTTTGTATTCGTTTTCTAAATTATAACCAAACAATAATAAATACAATTTGCCATACTCGCAAACCACAGAAAACGAATGGGGACGAACCATCTACAGATTTGTCAGCAGGATATAAACTCTGTTCTAAACAGGATGCGTTTCCTCATCAACATGTTTTATGTTCGGATAAAGTTTTTTGGTGGGATGGCTGGACAGGACAAAAATTCTGTAATGATATGCATTTACATATTAGTGGTATAGGATTAGACGTCAAACTAAGTTGGAGCTATACGATAGTCAATGGTGATCAAATTTGTACTTATCCTTAAAGTTTGCTTTATATTATAATCTAATACAGTCGTCCTCCTCTACAGTCACCTCCCTATATAATAACATCTTCTTTATAACCACTAATTTTTTTTTGAAAAATTATTAGCAATATATTTATTAAAAAAACTCTATATAATCGCATTACTATTAAAATTTTATAATCACATCTTTTTTATGTAAAATAGGCAGCATAATTATAGAGGAGGACGACTGTAATTGTTATTCTTATGATAAGTTATATTTAATGTCATTTATCTTATTTAATTACATTTCAATAAACGTTCCAAATTTCATATTTAAATTATCCTGTTTCAAAATTAATAAAATTAAAATAATATTTTGTTACATGACCTTTTTTTTGTTTCTTTTTTACTCGTCCATCCTACAAAACAAGACGTTTACAACTTGATCAAATCTTATATATTTGTAGAAGGCGCTGTCACACTTGAAATTTACTAAATAGAATTCAGGAGACGAATTAGTTTAGTAAGTAAATATGATTATGGTGATATGGCTAGCAGCAATAAATTTAGTAATTAATAGAGGATTTGTCAAAGCTTATCCGAAAGAGACTACAACTAAATGTATTTACCAGGAACGTAGTGCAACGGAGTGTATGGTTCAGTTCGAGTTTTACGTTCGTCCACAAATTCTTGATGCTGTTTGGATGTAGTAATCGAATAATTTTATGATGATTGAAAATCATATCTAAATGCAGTTACAATTATGATAAAATTCAAGTTTGGGATCTTGGAATTATTGATTTGATGAGATACCAATACCGTAACGCTGTTACGTTGAAATTCCACCTCTGATAATATATGAATAGATTGGTATCGACATGCATATACGTACCTTCTGAATTTACTTGTAAATCCGACCCTTCATGCATGATTCCGATGTATGATATTCTCCACATTCTACCCTGTGAATTCTCGAGACTTACATTTAGTTTTCATACGATATTATAGCTAATTCTTATAGATAGTCAAGATAGGTAGATATCGGATTATGTATATATATTAGTAATTAAATATATTAAGGTATCGATCCTAAAGGGGAGATACCAGAACTTGGTTCCCGATATCTCTTTGAATTATTCTTAGTGAATAAACTATTTTATCTTTGTGAATACATTATCGGTGGTAGTAGTATCTGGTAAGATACTCCAGTCATCGTATATTAGCCAAGCGAGTGAAGATTGATAGTAAAGACCCACGGATACACGTAGTTTAGGTAACTCCATGACACTTAAACGTCGTGATTTGTTTTTTTGACCAATTAGACCTCTATAAGTCATTGTTTGAGAACAACTTTAGTGAGATAATTGGTCAGAAATGACATCATTGTCAAGCAATTCTTAAATGTGTATGGCGCATTACCCAGCCACAATGATCTCTTTGTTTCAATATATATATATATTTGACGAAAGCTTCCACCATGTATTTCATCCGAAGGCCAAACAGAAATAATATAATTTTTAAAATTTTTAGTTCATTCATTATAAAAAGTTACCATTATAAAGGGTGTTGGCCGTTATATTACAGTAATTTCGGAAGTATGTAAGGCTAACAAAACTTATAAAATTTGGGTTTAAAAGTGAAACGTCTTTAACATTAAGGAAACTATTATTCTTTTTTAAAGATACGATTCAGCGTAGATTATAATAAAAGTTTTTCTTCATTTAATGAATAGGTTATATACAGTAGTACGTGTTTATTTGAGATTTATTATCATACTTTTAAAGCCAATATTTTTCTTATCGCGCATTTTATTAAGAACTTTGACGTTCTAGTCTTTAAAATTTTTGAATATTATAGTTTATGAAAATTTAAAAGTAAAGAAATTCGAGTATTTTTTTTTTTTTGAATTCAAAATAGTAATATTAGAAGCTAAAGAATATGAAAAAAAATTGAAGGGCAGCGTGCTTTTTTGAATAACAAGAACGTGATTCGAGAGAAATAACGTTAAAAAAGGTGTTTTTGTTCTACTAAAATTTAAAATTTCATTATTGTTATCATTAGAATTTTTCAATTGGCGCAAACTATTATGACTAATTAACCCTAGGTGCCGCACAAAAGCAGATCATCGATTTTGATTGGCTAATGCCGAGGATCTTCAAAATATTGGCCCGAATTAAATAATTGTTTACTAATTTCCGGCCGAAATTAACTTTTTAATTTTTTCATTATAAAAATAGAAATTTTTTAAAAAATAAGCCCGAGTTATGGTCAAATTGGCCCAGGAACAATTTTCACTTAATGGTGGCTGCGATTTAATTAGTAAAATTATGAGTAATTCCGGCCTAATTTTTTGATCGTCGCTCTTAGCAAATTAAAATCGAGGATCTGCCGCGCATTTTTTATGCGGCACCTAGGTTCAATTTATAACTGACTGACCAACCTGGCACATATTCAGGAATTGCGTTACAGGTTTGGAGTGACGTAGTAACTTAATTATATCAGATATCTGATATTATACTGCAGTTACGGTATTGCATTACAATATTGTGTTATTGCGGCATTAC